ATAAAAGCATAGCTTGGACTGTGATAATTAATACCCCTAGGACTCGTTTACTAGGCTGGTTAGGATAGGATAATGTCGGATATTCGACCTTATTCGTCGTTTATTATTTTTGATAGTGCCTAGGATTTGTCGCGGCTTATGGTGGCCCACCATTAATGAGGTATTAGCCGATTTGTTTTGTCTCGGCTAGAACTTGGGTTTTTTTTTATTCCACATCTTCCTAGGTGCAAAATTACATTTGTGTCCCTAAAGTGCCATGACAAATGAATTACACCCTTATAGGTTGAATTATTTACCCCCACCACCAATTGAACCTCATTATCATAATCATCACCACTCTACCAAATATATGGTTGAATACCCCTCGAGAGATTATTTACCAAATATATGGTTGAATACACCCTTATAGGTTGAGAAATTCCGCTCATTCCTTTTCCCGTATTGTAATTAGGTATGAAAAATAGCTGAAATCGACTTTTCTACTTCCTGATCGTGAGATTATTTAGCAAATCAACAGAAACGAGAATCAAATACGTAATTAAAATCGTATAAGTGATTAAATTTTGATTTTAGGTGAGCTGTTTTTATTTATGATTTCTGTTTATTTTTACAATTCCAATGTGCTTGCTTATGTACTGTCTTTATTGAACCGCAACCACGATTAGGTGATGGATCTTTTTCTGCTCTCGATTGATGAGGGCATCATTGGCTACAGGGATGGTTAACTTGAAACTGTCAAAAGAAATAAGCTCCAGGTTTTTATCTTTTGGTTTACTGTGATTAAATTGCAAATACATGGAGTTGATTCTGACACCGATGCTTTTGCTTATGTTGTTACCACACTATATGTGATTCTTGTTGCATAGAAAATTAAGGCTTGGATGTTGTTAAACTATAACCATCTTAGAGCATCTCTAATGGTTGTTGTCTATATCGCAATAAATAGACGGTCTTCTGTCCACGTATACAGAATAGAATGACATGTTAATAAATATGTCTCCAATGGTAAATGTACATATACGATACACGATGTTTTTTTTGTTGTTCTATAAAATACTATAAACTATATTTTACTGATCATAATTTCACCAGTATTTTTTTTCGAATAGTATTTTACTGATCGTAATTTCACCAGTATTTTTTTTCGAATAGTATTTTACTGATCGTAATTTCACCAGTATTTTTGTTCGAATAGCCAACTCAATATTCTTCAGGTTTTTTTAAGTAGTTTTTAAGAGCAAATAAAACATGTTAACACTATAATTTTTTTTCTTTTTCTCTTTTATTTGCTATATTATGCATGTTTATCTATAATTTTAACGAACCATATACCATTAAATTTATAATATAAATTGAAAAGTGTATCAATTTTTTCTTTTATTTTTTTGTATGTAAATTAATTTGCCTTCTGATTTAGTGTGTACGAATAAATACCAACAAACTATAATTAAAAAGAAAAGAAATAAATAGGATAAATAAAATATTTCATTCAGTCTAGACAGACTTTCAGATGTAGAAAATCTTCTGAATGTTTTGCGTCTCTCATGCCACATAATCAGATGTAGAAGTATGTTTTGCGTCTCTCTCATGCCACATAATGTAGAAGTATGTTTGGCGTATCTTCTGAATGTTTTGCGTCTCTCATGCCACATAATCAGATGTAGAAGTATGTTTTGCGTCTCTCTAAGTATGTTTTGCGTTTCTCATAGAAGTATGTTTTGCGTTTCTCTCATACCACATAATCAGATGTAGAAGTAAAAATACGCGTCTCTCTCATGTCACATAATAAGATGTAGAAGTAAAAATACGCGTTACGCGTCTCTCTCATGTCACATAATAAGATGTAGAAGTAAAAATACGCGTCTCTCTCATGCCAATGTAGAAGTAAAAATACTCTGCGTCTCTCATGCCACATAATCTGATGTAGAAGTAAAAAAAAACTCACCGCCTCTACAATTCTCTCATGCCACATAATCTGATGTAGAAGTAAAAGAAGTAATGCCTCTACAATTCTACAATTGACATACCATACATAATCTGATGTAGAAGTAAAAAAACTCGAAGACGTTTTCTATACTTTTAGTTTGTTAGAGTTGTTGATTTTAAATATTATTTTAATATACCCACTAACAACTAACCATATTAACTTTTTCAAATTTAACAAACTCAAACCAAAAAATCTAATCAAAACCAAAACTTTAATCTTGCACGATGAACACTTCATTAACATTGATAGAATGCATCTATAACCGTGATGATATTGTCGGCAATTAGAGTGAGTTAGGTACCAATACTGAATATATCTAAATTTCTGGGTATTAGGACGACAACCAGCTAAATGGCACATCAAATTTTGAGCAACACAAAAATGAATACTGTTCCCCATTAAATAATTGCAACCAAATAATAGCATACTGAATTACTGATACGTCAATTTCGTTTGGTGTGTCAATTAAATGCTGCAGTTTTCAGCTAGACTTGGAACATGTCCACATGATAGGACCCTTTTTGAATTAGTTCAGCATTTTGTCATTAATACTGGACTGTTATTTGAATCAGAGTATTTTTATATTGAAATGACATACTCTAAAAAACAGCATAAAATAAAAATATGACATTTCATAATATAAATATACATTTTTGTTAAAATATACGAGAAGTTACAGTTAGACGGTCTTTATGCCAAATTATATTCAATGTAATTCCGTAAAGCATATTCAACTCCATAAATGATCATAAAATGTTCAGCAACATAATTCACAATGCACGTAACCCTGGGATACTTGTTCATACTGTTTAAGAAAGTACAATGTTCAAGCAGAATACTACATTAAAATAACAGTAACGATCATAACAGTGGTAAATAACAACTTAAAAGACAAAACAATGTGACTTACAGAAAAGCTTCATTCCATTAAACACCACTCATGCAGAGAGAAAAGAAACAAAAGCGTTCAAATACATAAAATGCACTCGTACAGCATACGGAAGTCTCAAGCTAATAAATAAAGGATCAGAAGTAAGGGCTGTATCTCATGGGTACCCTGAACCTTGGGACTTTTCTGCAATTGGATTCAAAATAGGCACTCGTCACACTTTATTCAGAAGACAATACACCACAGTGATATTAAAAGGTGATTCTCACAAATTTTTGAGAATTTTTTCGAACGCGTAATGGAAACCTATTATAAGCTTCTAGGAAGGAAAAATGTAAAGGATTTTCAGCTTATGGGCAGAAAGACTGCAACTTTCAGCTTCTAGGTGGAAAAATGATCCTCTAACTTTAAAATGGAAATTGAGCATATTGCCACCTTGAGTCATTTTTTCCCCTTTATTTTTCTTTAAATGCTTGCAAATACTCTGTTAATACTTATAACTTCTGTCCTCACACAAATATGTATTAAAAAATCAAAAGAGAAAGATCAATACCCATATCCATAAAGGGACATAATGTAAGGTGCAGGAATGTATGGGACCCGGGGCCTACTTCCCAAGTAGGGATTAGACCGTCTAGGACGGAACTGCTTCATGCCAGGGACATTGGTCCTCTTGGCTGATACCTGGAAAAGAAAATGTAAAAAAAAAAAAAAAAATCAAAAAATTTAAACAATACATAAACCACAAAAACAATAGCAATATGAGGTTTGATAAATTGAAGACGATGTTCATGCAACTCACTTTCAACTGCCGTCCATGAAGTTCAGACTCATTCAGAAGAAGAGCCTGCTCGACAGCTTCTGTTTCAAGAAATTCAACATATGCATATCCCTTGGGCTGTCCATACTTGTTGGTCCGTATAGTTACTCTATTCACGGTCCCACATGATTGGAAATGCTGCTGAACTTCCTCCGGTGTGCATGCATAATCCACCTACGTCAACCCAAAAAGTCAGAGAGAACACTAGACTTCACAAAAGACGCCATAAATATGGCACTATCTTTTAATATGATGAAAACTAAATAAATGGATACATAAATGAATAAAAAGGAAAACAATTTAAAAATCTCACATTGCCGACAAAAACTGAACGGGAATCCACTTCTTCCCTATTTGCCTGATTAGATGCAGAAGCAGGATCTCCTATTAAATTGATAAGCATTAATGGATAAATTACGAATTCTTTAAAATGGGAAAGGAAAATGATGCTTACCGTCATTCACGGTACTGACTGAAGATGGTAATTGCACTTGGTGGTTGTTACGCATGATAAAAATAAAGACACTAAAGGCCACTATTTTTAAGCATAATTACTTTCCACATAAAAGACACAAGCAGAAAGTGTGGATAATATAAACTGATCAAGCAAATGAAATCTCTAAGAGCATTTCATGTCAGGATCATACCCTTCTAAAGAAGGAAAAATCATTCAAAAAGCATTTTTAAGCTTGAACTTTTATGACAGATCATTGAAAGGCATGTGTACCTACCAATAAATGCCGAAAGAGTCACCTTGCAGAATTCATTCCCAAAGTGAAAAGTATTCATTTTCAAATATCAAGTGAACTGGAAGAGGTATTTTCATCAATCCACACCATGCAAATTAGTAGTTCTGTCAACAAACCTTCATTGAAATCAAAGAGAACTATAGTGTACAAACATGAACGTTTAACTTTCAAACAAGCAGATTGTTCTTCCCCATGCACAACTAAATACCTCATTGCATGACAAATTTGTTGGAGGCGTAAACTCACCACTAATATTTTAAGCTTGACAAACAGAATGGCATATCTACTTACATGCACTAAAAGTCTAAACACGAGCTTCATTGTGGTTTGTAAGTTAGGGTTTAATTTCTAAAACATGAATCTTCCATAAAGAATGAATCTGGCAACCTCAGGATCAGAAATTCTAGGAATTTCTATGACTTAAACACCCACTTCTGAACTATGACTATCGTAAATATGTTCAGCTACTAAATTATATTTCACGTCTACAAGAAAATGTTGTCAGGTACTGGACTAAAAGAGCCACTTTCAGATTGAAGCATAAAAAGCTACATGACAATTTCAAATTATACTTGAAACTCAAGCTGACTTATGTCTCTCATGGTCATGGACACAAATTGTAAGGTGTACAATCGGCTACACAATTCTTTAATCTGAATCCCGACTCATATCTAATAAGAAACCCAATCTCGTATAATTTATTCTCAATAGACAAAATCATTTACATTAATATCTTTGAAGGATGGACCGTTTAAACTACCAAAATCTGTACACCATACATAACGACAATTTCCCCATTACCTCATTTCTGCACCATTTAAAACAGCACTTTTAGCCCAAACACTCAAAATTTGACACAACAGTTGTAAGCTTTTGGAGTGTAAAATTGGATCAATGGAAGGCAAGAAGGAACCTTGAACGGAGCCCATCTCCTGCTCGACTTTCGCCTGCATTTCGCGAAGAGCGGCGGCCTCGTCCTCCATCTCCTTCAGCCTCTTCTTCATATCGTCCAGCTCCTGCGTATACATACACGCTAAGTATAAGCAATTAGCAAAAGCTAGGGTTTGTTGTGATGAGGGAGAGAAAAATTGAACGGCAATCGGATCAAATTGAACAAATTGAAAATGGAGAGAAAGTTTGTATCACAACGGCAGCTCCTCCCTCGGCTCCCGCTTCCGCTGCCGCCATCTCCACGTCGCCCTCCATCAAATTCTATCTTTCTCAGGCGGTCCTTCACTCGATAAAAAAAATTAGGAACCGGGAAAATAGTAGTTACACACGTACAGGGACACTCCTGGCCCTGCACCCTTTACTAATTACAAAAACTACCCCATCTAAAATGTATTTTGATTTTTTTTTTTTTTACTTTTTTTTTTTTCAGATACTTATGTTAGAAATTGTTATAATTATTTTAATTAAGTGTAATCATAAATTTTTTATTATTATATTATACAATAGTTAATATTAATAACAAATAATAATAATTCAGAATAAATGTTATATATAAATTACATAAGCATTAAAAATTCTACTGCAAACTTTTTCTTCAAACTATTTATTCTAGAATATACATTAGTTTCATACTCTATTACTTTCCGCATTTATCGTGATGGCTTATATATTTTGATTTTTCATAAAAAATGTTTAACGAGATTTTTTCTTTTACTAGTACGTGTAATCCGTGCGATGCACGAGCTGTAATTATTTTATGGAATATTATAAATTGAATGAGATGAATCAAAAAGTAATAAACATTTTAAATTTTAATCATGAAATCTATTTTTTTTTTATGTTCGTATAGGTGCTTTTTTGTATGGGTGTGATAGGATATTTATTATCCCCACACTTGTTTTTAAAAACAACAAATATTTTTTAACATCAAGAAATATAAAATAAAATATTTTGGATATTATAAATTGATGTGATAGATATCAAAGACTGTTTATCTCGTGAAAATAGTAGTTTTATGGCAATTTTAGAAAACAGTTACCATAGAATGTGGATTTTGTGATTATCTTGTTTATTATTTCAGTCATTTTATACATCGAATGAAAATGTAATATTTTAAATTATTTTGTACGTTCCATAAGTGATTTAGTTTGTTTAATTTGTAGTTCTTGTGATTATATATATTGATGTGATAAATTATTATGTTTATCAACTTAAATGAAAATAGTAAATCAAGATTATAAAATTGTTACGTTAATATTGGATTTGTGATTATCTATTTATTTTAACATTTTTTTGGTGATTCATATCATTGTAATTTTATACATTGAATGAAAGTGTAATCTTTTAATTTATTTTGTTAGGTTCCATAAGAGATCTAGTTTGTATAATTTGTAGTTAATGTGATATATTTGTATTGACGTGATAAAATATTGTGTTTATCAGTATAAAGGAAAGATATTAAATTGAGATTTTTAAGCAAACTCTGTAAATCAGATCTTTACCAAAAAAAAAAGAAAAGAAAAAGAGAGATAACATTAAAAAGAATCGTGTATTAGAATTTATCCAAAAAAAAACCAAAAATAAAAACTGAATATTAAATGAAGATTTTTAAGCAAACTGTGTGAATCAAATCTTTACCGAAAAAATATCGAAAACTTTACAAATGAATCGTGTGTCAGAATTTCTCCAAAATCAAAACTAAAAATAAAAACTGATTTTCATTTCAAAATGCAAAACAAAAATATGCTAACAGACTTGATAAAATAAAAGCTACCCATATCATAACAAAATCCGATTTTTTTGACTAACAATTACTATATATAGGATACATTTAATATATTTGGCGGGAAAATATTTCTAAAATTGTAAAAAGGTTATTCTTTTTATATAATGATTGATAGATTTTTTTTTTTATTATGGTTAATATATGTATGTTCACTTTTATTTCTCATTTGCTTGGTGCTGAATATAACTTTTTAAAAGTCAAATGTTTGCACCTCTAAGAATTTTACTCACATCACTAGCTTTTGACAATGTTTGTATTTTGTAAAAATATATCATAATAATATTTTTATAATACTGCATTATGATGAAAAAATAAAATAGAAAATAAAATTCAACAATAATCACATAAATATGTAATGATGTCATTCCATCCGACAAAAGTAATTATGTTTGAGTTGATGTTGATTTAATAAAATATTATAATATTCACCTCTAGTTTGACTCGCTAAAGCTCACTAAAGCTTGGATCGAGTTGACTCGTTTAATAAATCTATAAACCTGAACAATTCTTCGTGAAAACAAAATATTTTTGCAAACAAGTTCAACATGATTGTGTAATTTATAAAAAAATACAAATTTATAAAATGAGTAGTTTGTGAACAAACTTTTTGAAAAAATATGAACAAATTAAAAAAGAAAAAAAAAATAGTTCGTGAACAAACTCACTTCGATTCTTTTAATAAACAAGCTCGATAGATGTTCAAGCTCAATAGTTTAAGAAAATAAATGAGTCGAGCTTAAGCTTTCACGAGCAGAACCGAGAAATAGTTTCAAATAGAAACTATATGATCGATTCACAATTTTTTAGAGGATTATTTATTCATTTTTTACTTATACAACTACGTTACAATTTTTTTTTTCTTCTTTGTTGAATAGCTAGAGTTACTATCATAACTCATTTCAATTTCATATTGTAAAAATAATTTAATTATATTTTTATTAGCTATTGTTTGTCCCATTTTTGTTGTATTTTTTTGTTTCGTCCTCGTTTTGCTTTCCTTTTTTTTCCATTTTAGGTCGGTTCTTTCGTTTTTAGTCCGTTTCTTGTTTTATTATGTGTTATCCTTCATTTTGAGTCTCTAAGTATTTTTCGTTTGTTTTTCCGGTTGTTTTTGTGTTTGTCGTTTTTTGGTGTGTAGGTCGGGAGCTTTGGGAAAACTTTCTCTTCAGGAAAAATTGGTTTCGAGAGCATAATTGGATAGAGGGGTTCGTTAGCAACGGGTAGGAAAAAACGGAACTCAATTCCGAGTTCGGACGAGCCCAAACGAGTCCGAGACGTAAAGTTGCGCGCAACAGCCCAGTTTTCTTCACCGCGGGCAGCGGAGGGTTCCCGCGGCCGCGGAGCCCTTCTGCAGCTGAAATCTCGCGAAACAAGCTAGAACTAGAAAAACAATTTAAAGAAATAACAATTAAATTCCTAGAGAAAAAGAAGAAGTTCTAGGGGTCGGGAAATCTCATCAAGTCTTAAACTATGTTGAACGCTTATTTGTTCGGTTACGAGATTAAACAAGCCTACACGTCTAGAGGACTATGCTCAATAACTCTTTGTAACAAGAGCACAAACATAAACGATAAACTCATTCAAACAAGCAACACATAGATAATACTTTTACAAACATGTCTACTCTATACGAGCCTAAATCGACCGACGTCTCCCCTCTTGGTTCTAAACGTCGATTAACTAGGTTAGAATGGTGATCAATCAACTAACCATATACTTCACACAACTCGCATAGATTGAAAAAAACACATTCCTCATAATTCAAAACAAGAATCAAAATTCCTAACCCTAGGTGAATGGATTACTTCATGCTTAGATTCAATTTCATGTTAACCGGAATTAAGAACATAAAACCAATCAGCAATAATAAAATAGAATTGAAAAACTTACAATCGGATTAAGAGCTGCAAGATTTCAATTCAAATATCTTTGTGTCCAACAATCCAAGCATGAGAGAAAAAATAGAAAAGCGGAGAAATTTATCCTAACAATATTGAGTTTTTGGAGAGAAAAATTGAAAGGAACGATATTGGGGATTGTTCCTTAGGTCTGGGGGGTCGTTTTTATATATAGATCTCGAAAAACGGAGCTAAAACGAGTAAAAATGGAGAAAAATAAAAACATGGTCGAACAGGTCGCGACTCGCGAGTTGACTCGCGAGTCGCGAGTCTGACGGGTCGTGGGGTCGCGCAGCTGGTCGGAGACTCTGTTAAAGTCGCGAGTCGCGACGTAGGCTCGCGAGTCGCGACTTTGGACTGAATTGCGCCATTTTATGTTTTGGGCTCGTTTGGGCTCGTCCGAACTCGGAATTGAGTTTCGTTTTTTGCTACGCGTCGCTAACGAACACATCTATCCAATTGTGCTCTCGAAACCAACTTTTCCTAAAGATAAAATTCACCCGAAGCTCCCGACCTACACACCAAAAATGACAAAACATGAAGAAAACCGGGAAAACAAACGAAAAAACACCTAAACACTCAAAATAAAGAAAAACACATAATAAAACATGAAACAAACTAAAAACGATGGAAACGATCTAAAACAGGGGATAAAGAAAAGAAAAACGAGCATGAAAAATACAACAAAAATTGGACAAATAACCTCGAAGCTTCCCACGGCCGCGGAGGTCGCGACCAGAATTTTAAAAACTAGATTTTGTTCGTTTTTTTTCGAGTACTGGGCATTGGGACTCGTTCCCATACCTAAAAAAAACACCCCAAACTCGTTTTTCTTGATATTTTCTCCCTAAGAACTATAGTTTTTGAACCCGGCCCGGTAACCGACCCGGGCAGGTCCTCGGGTCACCTGGTCACCGGTTCAACCGTAGGATCACCGGGTCAATTGCTGAACCGGATAATTAATTTTAAAATTTTTAAAATTATATATAGAGTATTTTTGTCATATAAATATACATAAAAGTAACAAAATTAAATATTTTGTGTATAAAATTTGTACATTAAAGTGTTAATAATATGTATCTCATGATAAATATTTACCATATAAACATATATACATAGTTTTATTTTTAAAAAACAAAAAAAAAATAAAAGAAATTAAAAAAATGTATATGGACCTGGTCAACCGGGTTGACCAGTCCGGTTCAATTCCTCGGGTCGGCCGCGTCAAGGCCGGGTCTGCCGGGTTTTGACAGGGTTTGACCGGGTCCTTTGTTGCCCGGTCCAAATACCCCACCCGGACCGGTTCCGACTCCGGGTCGACTGGGTCCGGAGTTGACCCGCCGGGCTGGTCCGGGTCACAAAACAGTGCTAAGAACACCATCTTGATCTTGTTTTTCACTTGAATTTCTTCATTGCTTTTGGATTAAGCTTGTACTTGGGATTCAACATTCGATTTCTTTATCAATTGTAAGTTTTCCTTTTCACCTAACCCATGGATATGAATGCTTGGATTGTTGTGAATGTTTTTGTTGAATTCCATATAAGTAGCTAAAGTCGATTTGCTATGGATAGGGGATAATACTTTGGATTCGATTGTGATTGTCGTGCTTGTTGAATCATTCAATTTATGCGAGTTAACTTG